CCCCAAAACCCCAAAACCCCAAAACCCCAAAACCCCTTTTCTCAACCCCAAGATTGAATCGATAAATAGTTGTTAAGAAAACTATCTTCGGAAATTCTAAAGATGAGTAGAAGGCTTACTTTGGTAAGTTTTCTCTTGAGAAAGGCATCCATTTCACTAGCTTTGTTCCTCTCCAGTTTGATAACTGGAGAATACCTGTGGTCATCCACAATTTTGAATACAGAATGTGGCTTGTTAGTCCCTATCCTCATGACAGAATGCTTATTATCAGGGTTGTCTAAAAGGTTGATTAAGGTATTACTGGCTACTACGAAGATATTCATCGGTTTCTCTGTACTTTTCGAAAGTAATTTCCGTTCTAAACCATGAATTACATAAAAGGCATCTTACGCTTGTCTTTATTTAATGATAAGATTACGATTTCTTCTGTTTAAAAACGACTTGATATTGCAACTTTTCATCATCTCCTTGCACTGATTCTTCTTCATTATCGTTCCTAGGTCTAACATACTAAATCATTCCCTTACATTTGTTATCTAAACGGAAATGTCAGTCTTAAGTCTCAAAGTCAAGGGTGAAAATCTAGTAAAAGGCTAATTCTCTATTGGAAACCCTGAATTTAGCTTCTTGGTTTACTTCGGCTAAGTCCTTGCACCTTGTAATATCGGAGGCCTGCCTTAGTTCCTTGAATAGTGTGCCTGCTCCTACTGAAGCTACTGAAGTTTCTAGGAATTATACGGAGATTACAGCTTCAGCCTGGAATTTTTAGATCAAGCCTATAAGAGAGGGTCATGTATTTCAGAGGACAAAAGTTTACCTGAAGGTTTGAACGTGTGTTCAGAACTTTTAAGTCTTTGTTTGTACTGAATGAGTAATGGCCAATGCCAAGTGGAGAGCCTAGAGAGGTGAAGGTGTAGGTAGGTTAGAATTTGAAAAATGCCTCTTTTTAGGTCTGATATTGGTCTTTATTTGAATTAGCTTACTTTTGTTTCGTGATTTTGAACAATACATATTATTCTAAAAATTCTATATATAAAAATTCCTTAGGGGTTTTGGGGTTTTGGGGTTTTGGGG